TCATTAGATCAATAAATATGAGAGATGCCCTCTCAAGAAAAAAAAAAAAGATTCCTACCATTTGCAACAACATGGACGGAGCTAGAGGGTATTATGCTCAGTGAAATAAGCCAGGCGGAGAAAGACAAATAACAAATGACTTCACTCATATGTGGAGTATAAGAACAAAGAAAAACTCAAGGAACAAAACAGCAGCAGAATCACAGAACCCAAGAATGGACTAACAGTTACCAAAGGGAAAGGGACTGGGGAGGATGGGAGGGAAGGGAGGGATAAGGGCAGGGCAAAAGAAAGGGGGTATTATGATTAGCATGTATAATATTGGAGGGGGGCATAGGGAGGGCAGTGCAACACAGAGAAGACAAGTGGTGATTCTACAGCATCTTACTATGCTGATGGACAGTACTGGAATGGGGTTTGTGGGGGGAACTTGGTGAAGGGGGGACCCTAGTAAACATAATGTTCTTCACGTAATTGTAGATTAAGGATAACAAAATAAAAAAAAATGATTTACTAAATTAATACTTATAAAGTACAATAATTAGAAATACTATAAAGAATGTCTGCATCATTTTATGATTTCAGGTGATAGAAAACTTTATACCTTTCTGAAGAATTGCTTTTAGATAGAAGCCTTTTCTCTATTGTCATCACTTTATAATGCAATTTTTAAAAAAGGATTTAAATTTACTCTAGATTAATTCTTTACATATTTTACCATATGTATGTTATATATCAACTTAAAAAAATTAAATTCTTATATTCAACCTAGGTCTACTGTATATCTCTCAGTCACTAAACAAGAAATATTAAAATTTCAACTATATATACTCATAAGTTATGCTGCTTTCATTTTGTTAGGGTGATGAGATAAAGATATGTTCTCTAACACGACAGGCTGGTCACTTTTGTTGTTTAACCATGCTCAAGGGTCTGATCCTCAGCCCTGCAGCTCCAAACCTGGGCTTATGTACACACTGATTAGGTTTAAGAGAATGATGACATAGGCCAACAAAACTCAAAAGAGGCTGAAGTATAAACTGGATTGCAATACATTAATTTGTTATTAAAAAAACACATTGCCAAGCTAACCTACTCTTGCTGGCTGATGAATAGAATCTCTGAGAAGTCTAATTCAAATAAGAAGGTTGTTTGGTAGGCATGGAATCACAAAAAAACAGACTATACTGTTTTAACAGCTTTCCCATCCAGCTACAATAGTGACAACAGAATTATATGTGCCAAGCAGAACAGATACTCCTACCTGCAGTAAGGGTATAATTTCCCAGACAATGTTAAGATGATCACCACTAAATTCTGCTTTCGGGTCTTGCCTTTACAGGTACCAAGCAGACCACTCCTGTTCTGTTAACATTTTTTCCCCAGGTATAAATTTTATTCTAGTCACACCTTCCTTCCATCATATTCTGGTCACCTTTAATCATACATATGTTAGAAATCACTTCAATTTCATAATTTCCATACTTTTTAAAACAAAAAGTATAACTGTACCATGTTCAAGGAGTACTAAAAACCACACAATTGTTCTTACACATATTTTAAGTGAAAATCAAAAGCAGTATTAATACCTTAAATCGGCAAAAAGGATTTTCTTGTGTGAAGTCCACTGGTGGAATGTTATTGTTAAAGTATCCTTTTCCTGTTCCCCAAAAGGCCTGCAGCTGATTCCATTTTGCCAAAATAGCATCTCTCTCATCTCCCAATAATGTTGGAGCAGAAAGAGCACTTGCAGTATTTATCAGTTGGTTGGACTGGGTAGGAGCTTGTGCAGGCTGACTGAAGAGACCACCTAATGCTAAAAATGTACCCAAAAATTAGTACTTCAGAAAGAGAATCAATCAATTCAGATGTTAGGTACAGGAGGCAGAATAATACCCTCACCAAGAATGCCCACATCCTAATCCCTAGAACCTGTATATATGTTACCGTACACAGCAAAAGGGACTTTGCAGATATAATTAAATTAAGAGATTACATTTAGATTGCCCTGGATTATTAGAGTGGGTTCATCATAATCACAAGGGTCCTTAAAAGACAAGAGGGAGGTCAGAGTCAAAGTGAGATTTGAAGATGCCTATGCTGCTGGCTTTGAAAATGGGAGGAAAGGGCTACAGGCCAAGAAATGCAGACTCTAGAAGATGAACAAAGCAAGAGAATAGATTTTTCCTTTAGCACCTCTAGAAGTAACACAGCCCTGCCATTAACTTGATTTTAGCCCAAGGAAACCCATTTATGAATTTCTTATCTGGAGAACTGTAAGATAATAAATATTTGTTGTCCTAAGCCACTAAGTTTGTGACACTTTGTTATGGCAACATGAGGAAACTAATACACTAGGACAGTCCTCATAATGTTAAGCTTACTTTTCTAATGATACCATCTTAATATTAATTTCATGACCAGAACACAAACTTCTTCTGTTGTTAGGCACGTGCCCATACACGCGTGCACGCACACACACACACACACACACACACACACAATGCATATGGATATGGAAAAGTAAAGTTTGTGAAGTTGCAGAATTGTTTTTAAACAACCTTTGTTGCTGTTATATTTGTAAAATAAATGCAAATTGGAGGACACAAAATAAGTAAAAGAATCATTATAACAATTTTATATCAACATCAGCTTAAAAACACTTTCCTTCTATTATAAAGAAATATATGGTAAAAAAGAACAACAAATGGACTAAACATCAGGATTCCGAACTAAAGCTTTAGCTGGCTATGTAACATTGGGCAAGTTACTTAGCCTCTCTGTGCTACGATTTCCTCAACAGAGTGTGAGAAGTTGTTAGATCAGATCAATATTTCCCAGTTCAAGACAAATAAGTACCCCTGAGACATGAAAGTACAGCTTTCAAGCAACAGCTGAATCACTAAATGAACTAATTCACAGAGCAAAAACTACTCTTTAAATTGTCTAATATTTTATAAAATGTCTCAGTTTGAGGGTAGTATGCCTTTAAGGCTTTATGACACTTGTTATCTCATTTTCTAACAAAGGAAAGAACAAGCCTTCTATGCAGCTTAAGACAAAAATTTTATCTAGCTAGGATTTATTAATATTGTGGTTTTTTTGTACTTAATTTTGATTATCTTTATAATAAGTGATTAACTAGTTTTCCATTTATAGCAGTGGTACAAATTGTTCTTTTAAAGTAAATGTAGTTAATGTTTAAAAGTAAATTGATTTACAGAAAATTCTTAAACAATAATACAAATAGTACATAAATAAAGAGAAAAATCATGAAGCTATACCAAATAACCTGAGTTTTAGGACCACTGTATTAAATGGTATTTAAATTTTCTTTCAGCTGTAAAGATTGCTAAGTACACAGGTCAAAGGGGCTTCTACAGGTCTGGAGAAGGGCTCCAATTACCCTCCAGAGGAGGAGTATTAATTCCCCAACAGGCATATATGAAAATTGCAAAGAACTGGACTAGAATAGAAGTCAGAAGACTTGAATCCCAGTTTAGTAGAAGCTCCCTCTGTAGCCCTGGCCAAGAAAGTCCTAGGCTTCATCTTCCTCAACTTTTAAATGAGATTAACTATGATTTACACTGATTTGCACTCGGCTTCCCTTTTACTTTTCACACTTCACACTGGATTACAACCACAACAGTCTACTCAAAGTTCACTAGCAGGAAGGCACTAAGGAACTCAAATTCTTCAACTTTCACTGAACACACATTCTCCTTGAAAAGATCTTCTCAGATTTCTTGATAATACAGTCTCTTCCGGTTTTATATATCATACACATATACAGACATACTTTTTATTCATTTACTTACCATGTATTAATTCAACAAATATTTATTGAGCACCCACTAAGTGTCAGACATAGAGCTAAATACTAAGGATATAGCAGCAAACAAGAAAGGTTCTTTCAACAGACTGAGCTCATCAAACAAACAGTAAATATTGTGGTAAGTGCCTCAGAGAAGTACAGAGACTTTTTAGAGTACTAACTGGGGGAACTAATCAAGCCCGAGGGAGGGAGGTTAAAAGAAGGCTGCCCCATCAGAGCTTCAGCTAAAGCCTAAAGGAAGTAGTCAGAACACATAGATGGGGCAAAGATAAATAGCATGTGCAAAATCTCTGGGGCAAAGACAGGGGAAGATGAGCTGCAAAGCAATTAGTACTACTAAATAATAAGGTAGGGGAAAAAAGTGGACTGGGGTATAACCCAAGTTAGAAGAAATACAAAACACAAAGGAATATGCTGAACTATACCACAGGAGTGCAATCAGTAAGTCCACACTGAACTCTACAGAACAAATTACCTGAATTCTTCAACAAATTGAAAAAAAAAGCTAATAAAAGAACTTACAGAGATGTAAGACAAGACAATACTGTTAATACACTTGAGTGATAAAACTATAAAAGAGTGAGGAGATGATCACCAGAAGAGACAGGACCATGTAGTTCCTGTGACGGGGAAGTGACTGGGAGGGGAATGTGGAGGGCCTCAGAAGTGGCTGGCCAGGGCCCACACCATGGCATGGGCCTTGCTTACAAGGGCATTCACTTTATATGTAATTCTTTAAGCTGTCCTTCTGTGCAGTTTTCTGTATTTGTACTATTTTTAGCAACAAATAATTTTTAATGGAATGGTACTAAACACAGAGGCCTTATAACTCTAATCATGCCAACCACTCTTCTCCCCAGTTCCTATGATCACATATAAACATGAGAAGTAGCTCTTGAAATCCTGTATTTATAATTCTTAAAACAAAAGGTAACCACTGAATTGCTGGAACAGTGCACTCAACAACTTTAGCTATACTGTTACGGCTGTATGTTTGAAAAAAGATGAAGACCTCTTATACTTACTAGTTTGCTGCTGCTGTGTGTTAAATCCTCCAAATCCCAGTCCAGTTCCCAAACCAGTACCCAAACCAGTACTAGTTCCAGTTGTGCCAAAACCAGTACCAAATCCAAAACCCTTGTTCTGAGTGCCACCAAAGAGTCCTTTGAATGAAAAATTGAAGTTGCTCAAGTTAAAAAAAGCCAAACTAACCTTTAGCTCATTTACTTCTACAAATGACTAAAGATGTCCTCTTACCTGTAGTGCCTGTGTTGGTTGGAGCAGAAAAGCTGAATGCAGAACCTGCTGTGGTAGATGTTGTCCCGAATCCTCCAAATCCACCTAATTAAAAAAGGACAAATAAAATAGAAGGAATCTGTTACACGCATAACAGGTAATTTCTTTTATATGTAGCAATTACTTACAAAATAATTTGAAAAAACAAAATCTATTGATCTAATTTTTCCTTTCTCTAGTTTCAATGTCAATATTTTAAAAACTGTAGTACTAATTAAGAAATCAATATGTCACAAGAAATCAGCGACTAAGTATTTAAAATAGAAATACCACAATGCAGTATTTAAAACAGAAATGCCACAATGAAGTATATACCTTTCAACTAATGGGTGATTAACAGTTACAGCTGAGAAAACACATTAAGCCTATTGCCATGTTTAACAAACTCTAAAATGACTATATGTGTACTTAGAGAGTGGGGGTTGTAAATTCAAATGCCTAAAAGATTTATGCTGGTAACATTAAGAAGTGAACAGACTGGGTGTTTACCAACTGGTGAAACTGTTTAGTGTGAACAGTTTTAAAAATGGCAACTGTTCCTAAATTCCAGCACATTACTGCTACAGGAGAATGGTAGTTTAGTAGTAGTATATAACCCCATTTTTCCCAAGAGAAAGAGGAGATCTAGATTTTCTATGTGAGACTTACAGAATTTAAAACCCTAATTCAATTGTTTGCAACTCATTTGATGAATTAGTTTATATTCTACTTTATCTTATATTTCTACTTAGTGTCCATCAAGACTAAGCAACTTTTCAAAGGAAACGCACCAAAACAACTTACCTCTTTACAACAAGAATGTGTTTCTTGAAGGAAGAAATGAGAGAAAAAAAACCCTAGTGGAAAGCAGTGGCAGGGGAGCGCAGAGGTATCACAGGGCTCTGCAATACCATTTGGCAACTCCGACAGACATTCAAAGTTCACTTTTAGATAAGTCTAGAGATGAAATTAATCTTAACCTTATCTAACTTGATATTGGAATGGAATGGAATGCTCCCAGTCTAAAATTGTTTTATGGTTGTTTGCTTATTGTCAGTCCACCTGATTACCAGTGTGGTGCCAAAAAGACTTCTATGACAAATGTTTGAACCATTAGTGAGTGCTCTCTCGGTTATGCTACAGGATTTCTTGGTTTTTAATTTTTAATCTCATTTCTGATATAAGAGACAGATATGCAACAATACTGTGACATACAAGTGCAAGAAGAAAAAAAAACCCAACACTCTGATATTAATTATATATTTCTGATTTGAAAAATTACTCAAGAATAGACTGCATGATTGTATGCAGGCACACCAAGTACTTATTTACTTGTAGACTGTATTGCAGTACTGCAAACTACAAACATTTTGATAAAAATCACCTAAAGTATTAAACATTGTTCTTACTCCTTCTCATCACTCTTTATAACCAGAGAACAACTAAGATATATTGTGAATTGGCTACACAATAAAAACAGTATCTTATCATGCTCCATAATACCAAAAATGTTCATTAACAGTAGTGGATCTGCAAGGATACAAAAGGATATAAAAGTAAACAAGAATTTCTATCAGCTTTTGCTGAAGCCAAAGTTAAACATTTATAGAAGTAGTTAAAACAGTTATCACAACTCAAAACAGTGGTAACTCCAAATGAACATGAAATCAAGCAAAACCAACATGTTTATTTACTGTTACTGAATTATGAGCTGGGTGCCTTTGCTCGGATACACAAGTTTTGAAATAATGTTTGTTTTACCCAGTGCCAATTTTAAGCAAACAGGGAAAAGTAAATATACCAAACAGTGATATGTGATCGCTTTAAATATATCTTAATGATAATGGATTATTTTATCTTTGGAATTTTCAAGTATTCTTCAAAATGTTTTGAAATCAGATGCCAAGGTGACATTCACACTGTAGTAACAAATCACTGCACAAAATACCAGACTTCCCAAATATGTCTTAGGAAATAATGTTTACCAAATGCATATAATTGGCATGGGCATAAGTAGCATAATGTAAGAGAATATGGACCATAAATTCATATACGAGCAGCAGAAGACTTTTCTATAGGGTCATTGTATGTAAAGCACACATAGACCAATTTTAAATTTATATATATGCACATGAATTTTAGTTTGTGATTTGCAAAATTTCCAGTGAGCTTCAAACAGTCCAGATTCCAAAATCTTCCTAATTATCTTTTGAATGCAAAGATATTTAGCCCACCAGTCACATCTCAATGCCATGTGACAATAAAACTGCTCTCTGGTCATTTCTGAAAAAATCCACGGAAGAATTGGGGGTTCTTTCTATAATTAATATCTTGTAGAAATGTATCCTAGTCAGCTGAGTTGATCAAAGAAATATATTAGTATTATTGCTGCTATTACATAGATGAAAAAACAATATGTTACTGCTGTTCGTATAAGACTTGTTTCTCTTGGGAAACACAAGGACAATCCAATTAAATTCCAATGAAAGATGAAGGAAAATGAAAAAATGCAGGAGTCCAAGAATCCCAGCAAAGTGGGACTGACTGCTGAGCTTATACGTTGGAAGTACCTAATAATTTGGAAGGTATATTCGACTCAAAATAATAATCCATTCCAAGTTCTTATCACTTCTATGGTATATTCTATTCAATTAAATGCAAATTTAACATTCTAACTTGTAAGACTTCCCCAAACCAAATCCTTCAAGAGAGTCAAATCTTGAGACAAATGTTTTTTGATAAGACGTTATGAAATGAGTTTCCTTGTCTTATTAAGACAAATTGGTGTTCTTTCTCGAACTCTAGGAACCACAAAATATTCTTGGACTCCGGCTCCCAACACTAGTTACACATACAACCCGCAGTATCTACCTGCACTTGCCAGACTGTTACCAAAATTGAAAGGAGTCGCCGAGGTAGTAGAAACACCGAAATTCCCAATATTAAAGTTCACTGCAGGATTAGCAGTTAATCCGAAACCCCCAAAATTAAACCCACTGGCGGTGGAGTTGGCAGTCTCAAGCCCACCAAATCCTGATAGGCGTGTAGGCAAAGAAACAAACAAAATTTTAAAAGGGGGTGGGAGAAGAAGAAAAAGAAGAAAGCAAGATAAGGATTAGAAGAATCAGCAGGAGATTTCACAGAAGTGAACAAAGACAAACTTGACTTTGCTTGAAACCAGTTAAGAAAAAGGAGGAGGTGGGGTCAGTAGAAAGGAGCAGGAGCGTGAAGTCCCGAAACAAGGACCAAAGGGCCAGGGCCAGAGCTCCCGACCCTCTGGGGCTGGGAACCAGTGGGACCCAGGGAGCAGCGAGGCAGAAGCCCGGGCCGCCCCAGCCCTATCCTCCCAGCAGCGGGAACCACGCGAGCGTTCCCGCCGGTCCCGGAGGCTGCTTGGGGAGTGGAGGGCGGGTCTCCAGCAAGGGATGAGGGCAGCCGCGCTCCGGTCTCTTCCGGCCCGACTCCCCGGCGAGGGGAGCGAACCCGAGGATAGGGCTCTGCGGGGACCCAAGCGAGGCGTGCGAGCTCCGGGACGGGCCTCGAGCGCCCCTCCGGCCTCCTCGCAGCCGCCTCGGCCCGCTCTGCAGCCGCCCGCCCTTTTCCGATGCCCCTAAAGTCTCCGCGCCGGCATGAGATCCAAGCTGGAAAGTCTGGGCCGAGGGGGCGAACCAGAGGCCTCTCCTCCCCAGGAGAAGGTCCAAGGGGATCACTCACCCGCGGGGGCCGCGGAGGCTGCAGCGGTGCCCGAGGTACCCGACGGAGCCCCAAAGTTGAAGGCCATGTCGCGGGAGCAGGGGACACCGAAACGCTGCTCCCGCGACTCTCGGTGCACGCAGCCTTTCAATCCGGCAGGGAAACCGGCCCCAGCTCACTGCGTTCCGCTTCTTTTAGGCCGGTCTAATAGGCCGGAACGCCCAAGAGGCGTAGGGGGTGGAGGGTGGAGAGGGAACGCCCCCTTCCAGCTGGCTGCCGGGTGCTGTGTGGCTAAGCGGGCGAGGAGCGTCACAACCGCGGGAAGATGCGGGAAAGCTCTCGGGGGCGTGCCGCCTGAAATGCCTAGAAAACTACTTTGCGGAACCCCCTCGGAAAGGTGTACAGGAGGCTGAATACGTGTGTGTCAGGAGGTCAGGGAAGGAAAGAAAGAGAAATTCTTATCTTCCATAGTGGAGAGCCAATGGATAATGCTAAAACTGAAAATTCATGAAGCAGCCTGTTTACAGAGTCATAGGGGTAAATTTTTTAAAAAAAGCCAAAAGAGGTGCCTCTGAGGATAATGTTAGGTGTCTTTATATAACAAACCGTGTGGAATTGAATCTTTTTTTGGTATCATTAATATACAATCACATGAGCAGCATTGTGGTTACTAGATTCCCCCCATTATCAAGTGCCCACCACATACCCCATTACAGTCACTGTCCATCAGTGTAGTAAGATGCTATAGAATCACTACTTGTCTTCTCTGTGCTGTACTGCCTTTCCTGTACCCCCCTAACCCCCGCTACATTATGTGTACTAATCATAATGCTCCTTATTCCCCATATCCCTCACTTCCCACCCATCCTCCCCAGTCCCTTTCCCTTTGGTAACTGTTAGTCCATTCTTGGGTTCTCTGAGTCTACTGCTGTTTTGTTCCTTCAGTTTTTTCCTTTGTTCTTACACTCCACAGATGAGTGAAATCATTTGATACTTGTCTTTCTGTGCCTGGCTTATTTCACTGAGCATAATACTCTCTAGCTCCATCCATGTTGTTGCAAATGGTAGGATTTGTTTTCTTCTTATGGCTGAATAATATTCCATTGTGTATATGTACCACTTCTTCTTTATCCATTCATCTACTGATGGACACTTAGGTTGCTTCCATATCTTGGCTATTGTAAATAGTGCTGCAATAAACATAGGGGTGCATCTGTCTTTTTCAAACTGGGCTGCTGCATTCTTAGGGTAAATTCCTAGAAGTGGAATTCCTGGGTCAAATGGTATTTGTATTTTTAGTTTTTTTGAGGAACCTCCATACTGCTTTCCATAATGGTTGAGCTAATCTACGTTCCGACCAGCAGTGTAGGAGGGTTCCCATTTCTCCACATCCTCGCCAACATTTGTTGTTTGTCTTTTGGATGTTGGTCATCCTAACTGGTGTGAGGTAATACCTCAATGTGGTTTTAATTTGCATTTCTCTGATGATTAGCAATGTGGAGCATCTTTACATGTGTCTGTTGGCCATCTGAATTTCTTCTTTGGAGAACTGTCTGTTCAGATCCTCTGCCCATTTTTTAATTGGATTATTTGCTTATTGTTTGTTGAGGTGCATGAACTCTTTATATATTTTGAATGTCAACCCCTTATCAGGTATGTCATTTATGAATATATTATCCCATACTGTAGGATACCTTCTTGTTCTATTGGTGGTGTCCTTTGCTGTACAGAAGCTTTTTAGTTTGATATAGTCCCACTTGTTCATTTTTGCTTTTGTTTCCCTTGTCCAGGAGATACGTTCATGAAGAAGTTACTCATCTTTATATTCAAGACAGTTTTGCCTATGTTTTCTTCTAAGAGTTTTATGGTTTCATGACTTACATTCAGGTCTTTGATCCATTTTGAGTTTACTTTTGTGTATGTTTCATTCTCTTACAGGTAACTGTCCAGTTTTGATTACACCAGCTGTTGAAGAGGCTGTCATTTCCCCATTGTATATCTGTGGCTCCTTTATCATATATTAATTGACCATATATGCTTGGGTTAATATCTGGACTCTCTATTCTGTTCCACTTGTCTGTGGCTCTGTTCTTGTGCCAGTACCAACTTGTCTTGATTATTGTGGCTTTGTAGTAGAGCTTGAAGTTGGGAAGCAAGATCCCCCCTGCTTTATTCCTCCTTCTCAGGATTACTTTGGCTATTTGGGGTCTTTTATGGTTTGGTTCCATATGAATTTTAGAACTATTGTTCCAGTTTGTTGAATAATGCTGTAGGTATTTTGATGGGGATTGCATTGAATCTGTAAATCGCTTTAGGCAGGATGGCCATTCTTACAATATTAATTCTTCCTACCCAAGAGCATGGGATGAATTTCCATTTATTAGTGTCCTCTTTAATTTCTTTTAAGAGTGTCTTGTAGTTTTCAAGGTATAGGTCTTTCACTTCCTTGCTTAGGTTTATTCCTAGGTATTTTATTCTTTTTGATGCTATTGTGAATGAAATTGTTTTCCTGATTTCTCTTTCTGCTAGTTCATTGTTAGTGTATAGTAATGCAACAGATTTCTGTATATTGATTTTGTATCCTGCAACTTTGCTGAATTCAGATATTCATTCTAGTAGTTTTGGAGTGGATTCTTTAGGGTTTTTTATGTACAGTATCATGTCATCTGCATGCAGGGACAGTTTAACTTCTTCCTCACCAATCTGGATGCCTTTTATTTCTTTGTGTTGTGTGATTGCCATAGCTAGGACCTCCAGTACTATGTTGAAAGGAAGTGGGGAGAGTGGGCATCCTTGTCTTGTTCCTGATCTTAGAGGAAAAGCTTTCAGCTTTTCACTGTTAAGTATGATGTTTGCTGTGGGTTTGTCATTTATGGCCTATATTATGTTGAGGTATTTGTCCTCTATACCCATTTTGTTCAAGAGTTTTTATCATGGATGGGTGTTGAATTTTGTCAAATGCTTTTTCAGCATCTATGGAGATTATCATGTGGTTTTGTCCTTCTTTTTATTGATATGGTGGATGATGTTGATGGATTTTCAAATGTTGTACCATCCTTGCATCCCTGAGATGAATCCCACCTGATCATGGTGTATGATCCTCTTGATGTATTTTTGAATTTGGTTTGCTAATATTTTATTGAGTGTTTTTGCATTTGTGTTCATCAGGGATATTGATATGTAATTTTCTTTTTTTGTGGGGTGTTTGCCTGGTTTTGGTATTAGAGTGATGCTGGCTTCATAGAATGAGTTTGGAAGTATTCCCTCTTCTATTTTTTGCAAAACTTTAAAGAGAATGGGTATTATGTTTTCTCTAAATGTCTGATTAAATTCAGTGGTGAATCCATTTGGACTGGGGTTTTGTTCTTGGGTAGTTTTTTGATTCAATTTCATTGCTGGTAATTGGTCTGTTAAGATTTTCTGTTTCTTCCTGGGTCAGCCTTGGAAGGTTGTATTTTTCTAGAAAGTTGTCCATTTCTTCTAGGTTGTCCAGTTTGTTAGCATATAATTTTTCATAGTATTCTCTAATAATTCTTGATTCTTAAATCAATGTTTGTATAACTTTAATAAAAAATCAAAACAATAACAAAAGCCATTGTATCTATCAAAGCTACAAATGCCCTTGGAACTGGCAATGCTACTTCTATAAATTTGTCATAAAAATGATTTGGCAAAATTATGGAATACAAAGTTATTTCTTACAGTGTTGTTTTGATAAAAGTGATGGGAAAATAAACAGGTTTGCTTCAACAGCTGCATTTATGAAAAGAATACTATTCAGACATGAAATGAGAACAGCAAAGTTCTTTACTGAAAAGGCTCTCAAAGATTAATTAGAGGAAAAACACATTTAGAACACTGTATATGGTATGCTACAATTGGGGTGGGGGGGGGGAACCAGGGCTAGAATATAAAAATACTCATACTTGTGTAAAATATTCCTGGAAAGATATATTTAAAAAATGGATCATATTACCCCTGGGAAGATGAGTGGCTAGGAGATGAGTGTAGGAACTTTTCACTACAAACTGCTTAATGCTTTTTGAAAATGTTAAGTATTACCTATTTAAAATACTAAGTAATGTTAATACTGGTGATTGCCCGGAGCCCCAATGAGAGCCCTGATAAATGGATAAGGACAGCTGGGAGACTGAGGAGCAGATGGACTTGATGATTGATGGTCTTAGGAAAGGAGGGAATGGAAGTCTTGCAAGAGTCCCTATTTTCTGGCTTATATAGTGTCTTGCCATTGGGTTTCAGCCCTGAACCCATTCACTATGGATTCAATGAGACCAAAAAAACCACAGTGGAATGTTCTTGGGGTCAAAGGGTTTGTGGATAAAATGAGAGTTCCTGTGGCCAGGATTCTCACCTGGCCCTGGTTGACTAGCTCACTGCACACCTGTGGGCAATACATGACTGTTGACTCTATAAAGAGCTCTTCCCAGTGCTCTGGGCGCAACATGGTGGCAGGGCTGCAGTGCTGCAGGAGAGCAGAGCAGAGGCTGGAGTGGTGGCAGTGCCAAGGACAGAGGCCCAGAGGACAGCTGTGTGTGACAACTGTGCAGAGAAGCCCAGAGGACGGCTGTGCGGGATGACTGTGCAGAGAGGCCCAGAGCAGAGACTGGCTTGCTGCATAAAGACTCGCTGAGTGAATGGGATTCTAGTGACTGACCTGCCACCTGGAAATAAAGTTGGGTATAACCCTTTCACCCCAAGAACGTTTTGCTGTCAATTTCTTTGGTCACACTGAATCCATAGCGAACTTGCCCAGAGCTGAAACCCATTGGCAAGGCAGGGTTTATACCCAACTTTATTCCCACATTGGCAGGTCAGTCACTAGAATCTGGTCCACCTTAGAGCAAGTCTGTATGCAGCAAGCCAGTCTCTGCCTCCCAGTCTCTGTGCCTGCTGCATCCATCTCCGTCTGTCCTCAGGACTGCCACAACTCCAGTCTCTGCTCTCCTGCAGCCTTGCAGCTGTATTGCCCAGAGCACTAGGCAGAGCTCATTATATAGAGTTAATAATGTATTGCCCACACATGTGTAGTGAGCAAGCCAACCAGGGCCAGGTGAGAATCCTGGCCATAGGAACCTTCACTTTCTCCACATAAAGTTCGGTAGATTGTGATGCCATTCCCTAGTAGTGGGAATTTAGGAAGACAAGAAAAAAAACCAA